AAAAGTTTTTTCATATGTGCAAGTTTGGGTCGCCGCTAGGCTGCTAACGGCTACATGATAGGATTTTGAGAAGACATTTTTTTTTTGCATATAAACCAAAAGTCAAATTGTTTTAGAGTATTTCTCTTTTTTAGATCATTTTGTTAATAATAATTTTTAATAAATCACTACATTTTTTAATAAATTATATGGAGTAATAATTTCTTGAGTGCACTTCTAGTTGTGTTTCTATAATTCTGTATTAATGTTTTTTTCAAAACAATATTACAATAGTTGTGAAAATAACACAATTATTTTTCTTTGAAATTAAACTTTTATATTTATAATTCACTACGTTTTTTGTTATATTTCTATTTGTTTCATGAACAATATAACTAGAAATACGTATCGAGGGTAGGGAGGGGGGCGGAATGGGGGGATGCGGTGGGTGGGCAAGGGTGGGGTTGAGGGTTTAGGATGAGGGTTAGGGCAGGTAGAAACCCGTCACTTTTACAAACGGAGCACCGTAGGTACTCCAAACGAACTGATGTAAATAAATGACACCAGTAGCATTAGTGTCATTTTAGAACTGGTATAAATTATAAATTATAATTTTTGGCCGATAAAAAAGAAATTATACTATAGAATTTTTGGCCGATAAAAAAGAAATTAAGAATTTTAATTTGAGATTTGTTTTTTTGTCAACTTTAATACTCCGTAATAGAATTTCTTAGGATATTTTATGATTGGGCCTGATCACATATCGTTCTAACAAGGAAAGAAGAGTTATAAAGTCCAGTATAAGAATGAATTGGACCAAATTTGGTGTTGTATTGTTCGATGGGCATATTTGCATTCTTGGGCCAGCACTTGTTGATGCTTTTTTATAACTTGGGCTGGATTTGGTATTGTGTGGGATTGGACCATTATTGGTCATTTCTCATTGCAAAGGGTGTACGCAAGTTGTCACGAAATCAAAAGCACTCTCCAAAATCCAAATGAAGTCAACAAAGGCAGCGTTTCGTTAAATTTATTTTATCTACTTGCTTATTTTTATTAAAATTGGATGAGATCAGATTAAATTTATTCAGATTAGATCAGATAAGATTCTCAAATCGAATTCAATCGGATTAGATCAGATACTATTCAATCTAATTAGATCAATTCAAGATCAAATCAAAAGTTCAAAAAATCATATCAAATCAAACAAGACGAACGGGACGTAGCCTAAACTTCTATCTCATAATTGACGTGAAAAGAGGAATTTGTTGGGGGTCAGGATTGGCGGGAAAGTCAACTAGGGTTAAAATTTATTCCTTTTGGACCAAAAAATCTTTATTTTTTGACTTCTTTTAAGTCAAAAACTGAATCTTTTACTTCCGTGCCGAAGTATTTGTCCAGTTTTGCCGCTTTTCAATCAACTATTTTTAAACTTTGATTTATAATTTACTCCCTCCGTCCCAGAGTATTTGTCCACTTTCATTTTTGCACAATATCCAATGCACTTCTTTAATTCATTTTATCTTGTAATTTGTATATTAAAAAATTATAGAAATTATATATTAATAATCTATATGTTAAGACGAATCAAACAAGATCACACATGACTATATATAGGCTTGCACATTGAGAGAATTTGATGAGTCAAAATGCTTAGATGAACAGTTCCAAAAGTCAAAAGTGGACAAATACTGGCAGGAAGCATCGGAGCAGTACAATTTCATCGAGAAATGCTTTGGCACTCAAATGAACTATGCCCACCAACAACAATGATATTCCCTATGTCCCATACTCTTCATCCTCTTGCTATTTTTGTAATAATTAAATGTTTTTAAATTTTGATTTTAAATTATAAAAAAATATTGAATAGTGATATAAATTTAATATCAATAGATTTAATTTGAAATGTAATTTTGAATTATTATACTTTTGTATTCTATATTTATTTAATTATACAGATATTAATGATTAAAAATATTGTATTAAAGACTTTAAAAAGTCAAATAGAAAGAAAAAATGCGACGTAGGGGATAATTAAAGACAAATTTGTTTGACTTGAGAGTCTTACATGTAGTAAAGAAAATTTTCATTTTTATTACTCGGTCTAAGTTGAACATTTTTTATCTTCTTCGATGTTATAGTTCAAAGTAAACTTAGGAAATTTTAGAGGGTAATTTTGTCTTTAAAAAAAGAGGAAGAAAAGTTAAAAAAAAACAGATAAACCCAAACAATCCTTACACGCCCTGACCCTCTATGCGCCTTATATATGCTCTGTCTTCTTATATCTCTCACCAGTCAGCACTACTGATTCAGCTAGTATTAAATCAATTTCCGGCCACCATGACTAACGGAAAAGAAAAAGCCGTTAAGGCTTCCGGCCACATTCCGGCGTTTGATCCGGCGGAGAAACCCCCAAGAAACAAATATGCCCTGGCCTGCTCTCTTTTAGCTTCACTCGTTTCCATCTTGCTTGGCTATGGTAATTAACAGTTTGACAGGTTTTTAATCTAAGGAAAAAAAACTATTTAATTATAGTGTAAAATCTATATAGTTTTGTGTTTTGAAATTATAAGTTTGAATTGATTTGATAAATGCAGATATTTGGGTGATGGGTGGAGCAGTCATGTACATCAAAGATGACTTTGAGTTAACGGACGTCCAATGGAGATCCTCGCCGGGATACTGAACGTGTTCTCTCTGGTTGGTTCCGCCGCGACCTCCGACGGGATTGGCCGCCGGTACACCATGGTGGTCGCCTCCGTGATCTTCTTCGTGGGTGCCATCCTCATGGGTTTCGCCACCAACTACGCTTTCCTGTTGGCGGGCCGCTTCGTCGCCGGTGTCGGAGTGGGGTACGCCCTCATGATTGCTCCCTTTACACCGCCGAAGTCTCTCCGGCGTCCTCCCGTGGCTTCCTCACCTCCTCCCCTGAAGTTTTCATCAACGCCGGTACCTCTATTTTTTTCTTGAGGCTCCCAATTAAATTTTGTACTCTTTCTAGTCTCAAAAATATTGTTTCACTTCAAAAAATAACATATAATGTCATATTCCGTATTTTTTTGAGAAATTACTTTCTTTATGAATTGAAATATGAATTATAAAAATATGATATTTCAAGATTATATTTTAGAGTAAATCTATTAATATTTAATTTATAACACAATTCAATAAAAATATATAACTTAATTTTTTTATTTTATAACAATTTTTATATAAATTAAATTAAAAATAAATTTAGGGAAGCATTGTACATTGCCGCAATCTCAAAAGTCTATTTTAAGAAAAAGTGAGTTTTTTAAAAAAGAGTTTTTTGGTTGACATTTTTGTGCAAAAGCTAAAAAAACCCAAAAAGATTTACACCTTTCAAAAAAAATTGTGTCCCACAATCTCCTACCCATTTCTATTAAAAAACCACTTTTACCCCTTACTTTTTCAAACCCTACCTATCACATCATACCTTTTTCCTAATAATCTACACATCACATCCTACTTTTACCCATCACATCAAGGGTATTTTTAGAAAGTCAACACAAAATTATCCCTCCCTTAATTTCTACTTTAGTCAAAATGGGTAACACTTTATGGGACGGAGGGAGTACAAAATATTCCAACTGGTGATGAACTAGTAAGACCATGTGAGAACTCATAAGGAAGAATCAGTGTTGAATCTTCAACGCCAATAGCTAATACTGCCTTCAACCTTCGTCCCAAAAAGATTTACACATTTTGATTAAAATTGAAATTAAGGGAGAGATAAATTTGTGTTTACTTTCCAAAAATACCCTTGACGTAATGGGTAAAGTAAAATGTGATGTGTAGATTATTAAGAAAAAGGTAGATAGGGTTTGAAAAAGTAAGGAGTAAAAGTGATTTTTTTTAATAGAAATGGATAGGAAATTGTGAGACGCAGTTTTTTAAAAGATGTAAATTTTTTTGGGAAGGGAGTAATTATTTGATATAATATGCCCGTTTTTGTCACATATTATAACGATAATAATTACTTCCTAAATTCATTCATTGTTTACCTAAATAAAAAAACATACGGAGTATATAATGATTTTTCCAAACATTTGTGAATTTCAACAGGTATTTTACTAGGATATGTGTCGTCCAACAACTTTGCATTCTCAAAGCTCCCGCTACACCTGAGTTGGCGGATCATGCTCGGCGTAGAGGCAATTCCGTCAATCATCTTAGGCTTCAGCGTTCTGACCATGCCGGAGCCGCCCCGTTGGCTCGTCATGCAGGGCCGACTGGGGCAAGCCCGGGGTGTTCTCAACCGGACTTCCGATTCTATATAGAGAAGGCAAAGCAGAGGCTCGCCGCGCGACATCAAAAGACGACGTCGTGGTTCCGGTGACCAAACGCCGCCCGATGGGGGCGGCCAGCGGCGGTGTGGAGGGAACTGTTTGTCTCCCCGACACTGGCCGTCAGCCACATAGTACTCACCGGGGTGTGCATTCATTTCCTCCAGCAGGCCACCGGAATCGACAGCCCGAAGATTTTCGAGAACGCCGGGATAAAGTCCGACAACAACAAGCTGCTGTGCACGGTGGCGGTCGTCGGGTTCGTCAAGACTCTCTTCATTTTGATTGCAACCTTCACATTACACAGGTTCGGGCGCCGGAAGCTGCTGCTGACGAGCATCGACGGCATGGCGGCGTCAATGGCGTTGCTGGCTTTAGGGCTGACGGTAATTGACCACTACACGGACCATAAGGTGACGTGGGCCCTGGCGCTGATGAGCATAACGATGGTGCTAGTCTACGTGGCGTTCTTCTCCATGGGAATGGGGCCCATCACGTGGGTGTACAACTCAGAGATATTCCCGCTGCGGCTGAGGGCCACCGGGGTGATATCCACGACGTTCATGTCGCTGTACAAAGCTGTCACCATCGGCGACGCGTTCTACATGTAAAGCGGCGGCACCGTCGTCTCGTTCCTGTTCTTCTACACGCCAATGCCAGAAACAAGGGGGAGAACTCTTGAAGAAATGGAACAGGAACGAGACGACGGCGATGCCGCTTTACATGTAGAACGCGCCGCCGATAGTGACAGCTTTGTACAGCGATATGAACGTCATGGATATCACCCCGGTGGCCTTCAGCCGCAGCGGGAATATCTCCGAGCTGTACACCCACGTGATGGGCCCCATTGCTATGGAGAAGAACGCCACGTAGACCAGCACCATCGTTATGCTCATCAACGCCAGGGCCCACGTCACCTTGTGGTCCGTGTAGTGGTCAACTACCGTCAGCCCCAAAGCCAGCAACGCCATTGACGCCGTCATGCCACTGATGCTCGTCAGCAGCAGCTTCCGGCGCCCAAACCTGTTTAATGTGAAGGTTGCAATCAAAATGAAGAGAATCTTGACAAACCCGACGACCGCCACCGTGCACAGCAGCTTGTTGTTGTCGGACTTTATCCCGGCCTTCTCGAAAATCCTCGGGGTGTCGATTCCGGTGACCTGCTGGAGGAAATGAATGCACACCCCGGTGAGTACTATGTGGGGGACGGCCGGTGTCGGGGAGACAAACAGTTCCCTCCACACCCCCTATCCACCGTCGGCGACCGCCACCTTATAAAGAAGAACACCGTTTCGAACCTTGAAAGTCATGAGCACTCTCTTCAGAATGATGATGGCACTTTGTTCATTATCTTTTTGCACCTTCAATAGCACTCTGCATGACAGAAAAAGTACAACACACATGACACATCCAATAAAAAATGAAAACATGAGAACAACAAACATCCAAAAGAAAGAGTACAACAACACTAAATTAGATATACACATATACAGCCTTTGTTTTTTTAGGAGCTAAATGCCTATGATATATTTTTCAAATGTTTACATGAATAGGGTCTGGGGCCATCATCTCCGATGGAGCCAAAATTTCACCATTTTTTGGCTTTGGGGTGTGATGGAATAAATCAAAATGGATCTCTAAACTATCTGCGCTTCTTTAATTAATGAAGTAGCAGTTAGTCAAGCAATGCAACTTTCGACGTTGAGCCGGGGGTCTCTTTGGAAACAGCCTCTCTACTTTCGAGTAGGGGCAAGGTCTGCGTACACACACCCTCCCCAGACCCTACTCTTGTNCAAAATTTCACCATTTTTTGGCTTTGGGGTGTGATGGAATAAATCAAAATGGATCTCTAAACTATCTGCGCTTCTTTAATTAATGAAGTAGCAGTTAGTCAAGCAATGCAACTTTCGACGTTGAGCCGGGGGTCTCTTTGGAAACAGCCTCTCTACTTTCGAGTAGGGGCAAGGTCTGCGTACACACACCCTCCCCAGACCCTACTCTTGTGGGATTTAACTGGGTTGTTATTGTTGTTGAATTAAAGACTAAGATAATCCGATCCACCCTATAATGATACCTCTGCTAGTGATGAGAGATGGTTTTGCCCAAGAGAAGCCTAAAACCCTTACAAATAAAAAAAATTGAAAAAAAGGGACTAAGATGAATAACAGAAATGGAGAACGTTATATTAAGGGGCTGTTTGATAACTTCTGAATAGGTAAGTGCTGAACCAGTAAGAGGTCTGAACCATTAAGTGCTGAACCAGTAAGAGGTCTGAACCATTAAGAGCTAGTATATTGCTTAACTATTCATAGGCAAATGTCTGATCAATTCAGATAAAAGCTCTTAACCATTCAGACTCTGTATAATACTTAATCATTCAGAGGCAAATCTATTAACCATTCAGACATCTGAACCATTAAGAGGCTGAAACAAACAATCTGAACCATTAAGTGCTGAATCATTCAGACATCTGAACCATTAAGAGGCTGAAACAAACAGCCCCTAAGACTCAAGTATTCAAGTAACCTATCCTAAGTTATCAAGTCATCTTTAATGGCTATATATGAATGACACTAATATTTTTTTAAAATATAAATTATAAACATCAACAAAAGAAACTAAAATGATCTGTTCTTTAGTAGTATTTTATGCAAGGGAAAAATTAAAGTACATGAATGGTTCATGTACTTTATGCTAGGAATTTTTTTTACTAACGATTTGGCCAGAGAAAGTTGTGAAGCAGGCAAATCATCTTATGATTGTTGAAACTTGAAAATTTGGGCTGATGTTGTGATTAATGTTGAACTAATCACTCGATTGGGTATAATTCAAAATCTCTTAGATGAGATTAATGCTCTAGATGCCTTCACATAAACAGGTCATAAAACTTCTTGTTAAGTTTGGCATTTCATCAAACACTTGGTGGGCATAATTTCTAACATTAAAATATAATGGAATTGGAGATGTAAAAATACTTTTCAATTGAAGATGTGATTTCTATCGTATAAATCACTGAAATTTCGAATTGAATATTTACATTCACTAAAATTTCATAATTTCACTGAAATTTACTTAAAAATTTTATAACGTAAAATTCGATGAAATTCACTCAAATTTCAAACTGAATATTGAAATTGGAGATGTAAAAATACTTTTATATGAATGCACTTCAAATTTGGAGATATCATTTAACCTAATTCATAAACTCAAAAAGAATGCTATGTAAAATCCTGGGCCGCTGGGGTTACCTGCAACCCGCCGCCGCCGAAGTAGAGATGGTGTAGTGATCATCCGACGACTGGGACTAAGCTGCAATCCGTCGCCAGCAGCACCGCAGTCTCTCTTCAATCTATCGCGGCACCTAATTCAAGTCGGGTGTGGTATTAAAGCTATCCTAGACCTAGACTAATTGGGAAAGTTACCTAGCCGGACGGACCTTTTTCTTTAGGCGGGTAATGATTTATAATAAAATCCAAATGGGCGGGCTTTTAAAATTTTAGTTTGCGTCGGCCCAACTGACAAAACAATATTGAAAAATTTAAAAAAAAAAATTAGTGTCAAATAAACCCACATAAACTTTGCGTGGAGCAAACCCACACCAATTCATTTTTAATTTCTCAATTAAACATGTTGGATAAGTTTTCACCAACATATTTTTTAAATTATAATAGAAATTCACAAAACTATTTCTTAAATTTTATCGTCATTTAGACTCACATAAAAATAAATAAGTTATTTGTGTCGGCTTAGCGAACACGAAATTGCGAGGGCTACGTGACACTCACTAACATTGGTAGCTAATTCAATTTATTCTAGTAGTGATAACCGTATACATGATTACCAAAGCGAAAAATTGCTTTGAACGAACATTTGACAACCTTACTACCCAAAATAAAACTTTCTATTTTGCACACCATCACAATATATACATGGTACATGGCTAAAGACCATTGCCTTAATTATTTGCTGCGTAGTGACAATGATGTGTAACAGCTTCCTAGTTACATGGGCGGATCCATTCTTATGTAGTTGGAGGTCATTGCATCCTTACCTAGACATAAAATATGCCTAGGTATGACAACGGGTCAGTTTCGGGTTGGATTGCACTATATCCGAACCCAATCTGACTTTAAAACCAAAATTCTTGACAATGTTGCCCTTCGTTCTCACTCTAGCAGTTTACTTTTGTTTTGCTCCCGATTAATATTTTTCTTTTTCCAATCTTTTCTTTGTTTCATTTTCTATTCATTTGTTGTGTACTCCTACTTCATAAACTATATTTAATTTTTCAAAAACTATTTGCATTTGATATAAAACAAATACGTAGTAAAATTAAAAAAAAAGTTTACGCATGTTTTGTTGTTGTGTTTTATGTTTTGCTCACATTGCACACTCCATAATAAGAAAAATTACTTTTGTATTTTATTTATTTTTTCGTTGTTTTAGTTTTCTCTTTTTTCTCTTTGGCTAGTTTTTTCCTTTTGGCTAATTTTTTTTTTCCTTTTATTCAGTTTTTGATTCCTTACTGTTTTTATTTCCATATGTATTTCCACTTTTTGTTGAAATTAGAGTAATATAGTGCTACACTCTAACCAAATATAAATCATATTGACATGTAACTGTATATTACCAAAAATTAGTGTCATATACTTGCACGCATATAATGTCAAAGTACATTAGCATAATTCAATAACTCATTTTTGTTATAAAAACGTGTTACATATTATAGGGATCAAAGTACAATTGCATAATTTAACAACTTTTTGGGTATATATATGTATGTGTGTCTATATATATATATATATATATATATATATATATATATATATATGTATATATATATGGGTTTGACTCCAGTCAGATGACATGTTTCAGTCAGAGGACACTTTCAGTCAGATGACATGCTTCAGAATGAGCACTAGCTTGTTTGAGAATGAGCACTATGTTGTTTCAGAATGAACACTTTGCTAAGAAAACTGGGAATGAGTACTATGTTATTTTAGAATGAGTACTAAGTCTATAATGAGCAAATGTGTGAGAATGAATTCTACATTGTTTGAGAATGAACATCATGTTATTCAAAATGAACCCTGTGTTCTCAATTGCCTCAATTAGAATGAACACTATGTTTTTCTGAAATGAACAGTACGTTGTGATGAATAGTTGTGTGAGAATGAACCTTACGTTGGGTTAGAATGATAACTACGTTGATCTAGAATGAACCATACGCTGTCATCTGACCGAAAGTGTCATCTTACCGAAACTTGTCATCTGACTGGAGTCAATCCATATATATATATATATATATATATATATATATATATATATATATATATATATATATATATATATATATATATATATATATATATATATATATATATATATATATATATATATATAGATTTTGGTTCTGGTGAGAATGCAATCTTAGGAGAGAAATGAGAATGAATCTGGTGCTTTAGATTGTGAGATCTAAGGGTCAAGATTTCATCAAAATTAAATGCATCAAAATGGTGCGAAAATGCATCACGTCGAAATGCACCATAAACCTTCGAAAATGCACTATCTCAAAATCTGAGCGCAGGATGCAATCTGAGCCGCACAATGCATCAGATCCGACGGCTAGATTTTATTCTCATTTCTCTCCACAAGGTGCATTCTTACAGGAACCGGCCCCTATATACACACACACACACACACACACACACATATATATACATATATACATATATATATATATATACACACATACATATATATATATATATATATATATATAGGAAACATTATTAATTACACCCTATACAATTATGGAAGCTACCAATATACATAAATATTAAATATAGTAAGAATATATTTAACATGCTCCCAACGGCACTAAAGAAGATCGTCGCACACCCAGAAAATCTCGAAACTCGGAAAAGACCATGGAGGGTAGTCCCTTGGTGAAGATGTCAGCATACTGTAATGAAGAGGGCACATGGAGAACTCGTATCTGGCCAAGAGCTACTCTGTCTCGCACGAAGTGGATATCTACCTCGATATGCTTTGTGCGCTGATGTTTGACTGGATTGGCTGAAAGGTAGACGGCACTGATATTATCACAGAAGACCTGTGAGGAGTGCATCAGAGGTTGCCGAAGCTCAAGAAGAAGATTGCGCACCCAGCAGACTTCAGAGACGGCATTAGCGACAGCTCGATATTCTGCTTCAGCACTGGATTGAGAGGTGGTGAGTTGTCGCTTAGACGACCAGGAGATGAGATTGTCGCCTAGAAAAATGCAATAGCCGGATGTCGATCGACGAGTATCTGGGCAGCCAGCCCAATCAGCATCAGAGTATGCCCGCATATGATCTGTCTGAGATGGTGAGATGGTGATGCCATGGGTGGGTGTACCGTGAAGATAGCGCAGAACGCGCTTCATGGCTGTGACATGCGGCACTCGAGGATCATGAAGAAAGAGACATAGCTGCTGTACGGCATAGTTAATGTCTGGGCGTGTGAAGGTGAGGTACTGCAGTGCTCCCACAATAGAGCGATAGAGAGAGGGATCTGGCACTGGAGGACCAACAGTGGCCGAGAGCTTCCCGCGGGTGTAGAACAGGTTTGCACGAGGTCATGCCCGCCCGCTCCAGGATGTCATAGATAAACTGAGTCTGGGTGAGGAACAGGCCGTGAGAGGTCCGCTGAACATTGATCCCAAGGAAAAAGTGGAGGTCTCCCATATCTGTCATAGCAAACTCCCCTTTTAGTCGTTCTGTGAGCTGGTGTAGTAAGGCAGGAGATGATGCATTGAGGACAATGTCATCAACATAGAGCAGAAGTAGGGCCATGTCCTGTCCGCGACTGTATACAAACAAGGAGGCATCACTCTTGCACCCACTGAAGCCAAGAGAGAGAACAAATCCCGTGAATCGCTGATACCAAGAACGGGGGGAGGGGGGCCGAAAGAGAGAATTAGGGTTGGAGAGGGAGCTGTGATTGATTATTGCTCTGATAC